GATGTGATTCCCAAGCATCATGTAGGTTTCCGAGGATTTTGTTCATAAAGCCGATTTCAACCATATCCTGTAAGATGACTGAAACTCCCGTCGAGCCGCCAAGCTCGACAGCGGCCCTGATAAAATTCTCAATGCAACTAGTACCCATACGAACTTGTTCTCGGCTCTTTGAGTCTAAGATGTTAGACAAGGCGCTCAATGTCGGGCGACGCAGGCGATCTTCTAGCATAGAAGCAGGAGCAAGAAGGATATAAGACTCAACAGCTGTTAGAGCCAGTGAGGCAGTCTCACTATCATACTCGAGTAGTGGCAGAACAAGTTCTGCAATGTTTACCAACTCAGGAGCCAGGGGAGCATAGCTCTGCATGAGAATATTATTCCACAATTCCAAAGACTCATCAATTAAGTGGAGGTGTAGGTCTGATCCTCGACGGGCTGCTTCAGAGAGGAGTGGCAGCATGAAGTGCTGATATCGTTGTGAATCCGGACCCATGCTCATAACCAGGGCTGCGAAAATCGATGTTACCGCTTGTTTGATCATGTACTCTTCAGCCCCAGAGTTCTCCCAAACTGTAGGAAGAGCCGACATGAGCTGGTCTCCAAACTGGGATACTTGCTCTTCCATTCGTGTAACCAGGATTCTAATGGACTCAAGGATAGCCAACTTAGTTTCATCGACATCAACACTTTGAACAAGGTTGATGAGCTGTGACAAAACATCAGAAGTGTATGGCAGGAAAGCGTCCACATTGAAGTCAAGCTCATCGGCAATCCATCGTAGTTGTCGGGCAGCTGTAATTCTGACGACCACATCGTTGGTCTCATCATCAGGGTTGAGGAAATGCCGGTAGATTTGGTAGACGATCGGCCTACTTGAGTCATCGAGCTTGATAGGAGCCCACTGACTCACAAGGATGGCGATTCGTCGTCGCAGTACTTTGCAGAGACCGCCTTGTAGACGTGCATCATTGACAATCGTTGAAGCCAGAACGGCATCAAAGTCGAACACGTGATGAACATGAGCAGCGGCGAGGCCCATTGCAGTATACACTGCCTCTTTGGTAGCAATATCGGCCTGGGAATCTTGTGCTGTCTGGAAATAAGACAACAGGGGAGGAACTAGCAAGTCCTTATAGTTTGTGAGAAGATCGAGGAACAGCTTTTCAGCACACGGCCTTACTTCCCACTCATAAGCATTTCCTTCGCTCTGTTCCTGCTGCTCCCACTCCTCTGGATCTTCCTCCCAACCCTCAAGATCCGACTTACGGAAGACAAAGAGATGGGTGATGATGGAGTTAACAATTTGAATGACGAGATCAGGTTTCAAAAGTTCCGATTTGATCAGGTTCTTAGCCTTTTCTTGCTCGGCTTTTACTTCCGGGCTTCGCCATCTAAAAGTCTGGACATGCTGGAACCCTATCCGGACGCATGACCTGAGCAGGAGAAGCCCCTTGAGGGCCAGTCTTTCTAGTACGGGTCCCTCGACCTTGGATTTTGCAGATCCGGTCTCTGATGGGCCTTGTCTGATACCGCCAGACTTGTCAAATACCTCTGCAAACTTCGCGACCAGCTCCCAATATGATTGTACCAATGGGATGGAGTTGGGAAGAAACACAAAGCTGGCGGCATGCTGCTCCGCCATGTCAATGTGCAGCTTGGTAAACTGGAGCAAGTGTTTGCCAACGACTTCTTGATAGTTTGGTGGGACTGCCGAGTCATGACTAACAAGGTTGAGGAGCTGCCCGAACTGGTTCTGTGACAAAGTCCAAAATTGCTCAACGGTGTTGTCACTGTGGGGGCGCTCGTAGCCCATTATAACGAGCCGACGAAGGACTCGAAGAGCAAGTAAGCTGTTGAGCATAGCCAGGTTGGCTTCCTCCTGACCTCCCGGCCCACCAGTAAGGAAGCCCATCCATGCCTGTGACTTTTCTGAGTAGACTTCGCTTAGAACGTGAACAATCTCAGGGGTGACTGATTGTAGAGCGGTCTGGTTCTTTCGCATGCGTGCGGTTCCTAGTTCCTTCACCACTCGTAGTAGAATCTCGAGGATGCCATGAAGATGTCTCTGGTTACCATTTCGCGATGAACGGAGGAGTTCGATAATATTGCCCATAGCATCTGGCCATTCGCCAGGATAATCGATTCTAACGATCTTCGCGACCACCAGAGCATTGTGTAGAGCAAGGTTGGTGTGCTCTTCCTCGATAGAGCCTTGGAATAGTCGCGAGCGTATCAAGCTCTTCTCCTCTGGTTTTATACTGTTCTTGACCTGGTTGAATAACCGCCAATAGCGGTCAATACCATTCTTGAGCTGAATTATGGCGAGAAATCGAACTTCGTAGGCGAGGGACTTGTCGAGGTAGACAGCCTGCGAGATTGTTAGTGCGTTGAAAAGAGTCTCCATCTCGGCCATAAGGCTCACCTGCAACGAAGAATAGTAGCCTGGTTGGAGCTCCCATGATGTTAGCTGTTGCCCTGCCGTCTGACGCTGCGCATAATCGGTTGAAGTGGCTGACTGCAGTGTCTGGTACAGCGACTGCAAAGACAGCGGATTCGCATCGCCGGGGACTTCGATAGCGAAGCTCATGGTAAGAGCCAGCAGCGGCTTATGTCCGTGGGAGCCGCAGGATTAGTTAGGACTTTGGGAGCTTAAGTATGGCAACGGATTATTGAGAGATCGAGAGCCTCGTTGTGTGAGGGCGACGAGAAATCACGGTATGAAGATGAGTCGTGAATTTTGGCTAGTTGAGATCCAATGCTCACGCAGTTGCTCTGTTTGTATGGATGGCGGGGTTCCATTAGGTTGTTAGCGTTGGGGAGGGGTCACACAAAGACCCAGAGACCCATGCCACAATGTCCATAACCACTATAGAACAAAGGGACTGTACATTCAACCTATGATATCACCTCTCATATATGGAATTACGTATGATCTGACCTACCAAACTGTCAGCATGATTGTGTTCTTCATGAGGTTTAATAGGTATGCAGAGACATCGCCCTGTATGTATTACCTTATATTGTTAACCGCTACACGAACTGGACATGTCCACCGACTGCTGATAGGCGATAGCTGACCGCTAAGAATAGCGGCCCGTGGGTGTCCGCTAGGCTTTAAACAGCAACGAGCTGGCAGGCGTCCATGGAACGCTTTCAGGTGGGTTTGTGAATTTTGGATCGTCATATTTCCGCAAAAGCATTGAATATCTATCTATCACGCGCCATTGCATGCTGAAGTGGCCATGATCCGCTCGAGGACCGCCCGAGCGGCTTTCAATACGTCTCTAAGAAGACCTTGGACGTGCCCGCAGTGCATCTCCCGCAGCCGGTTCTATTCTGGAAAGTCCGAAAAGCGAGAACCTCCCGACCATCGTAAACTCGGTACCAAGCAAGAACTCTTTATCAGCTCGATCTACAGCCCTGGCTCCCCCATATTCTTACCGAATGGCTCGCGAATCTTCAATCGGCTTGTCGACTTTCTCCGAAAACAATACGTACGATATGGCTTCGAGGAGGTTATTACGCCGACCATCTACAAAAAGTCACTATGGGCCAAGTCAGGTCATCTGGAAAACTACGCCGACGACATGTATGCTGTGAGAGGGAATACAGAGCCACCGCCTGCGCAACATGACGGATGCGGTGGGGGTGACCAGAAGGATCTGAAGCCTGACGAGGAAGAAGAGGGTGATTATGGTCTCAAGCCCATGAATTGCCCCGGCCACTGCCTCATTTTCGCTTCCAAAAACCGTAGTTACCGAGATCTTCCAATTCGATATGCCGACTTCAGTCCTCTGCATCGAAACGAGATTTCCGGCGCATTGAGTGGACTCACTCGTGTTCGTCGTTTTCACCAGGATGACGGACACATTTTTTGCCGACCAATTCAAGTTGAGAAGGAGATCAAGAAGACCCTAGACTTTGTCAAGGTGGTGTACACTGTTCTGCGATTTGGCTCAAATTACCGACTTGCACTCTCCACACGGCCAAAAGATCACTACATTGGTACCCAAGAGGAGTGGGACCAAGCCGAGAGCGCCTTGAAGCGAGCTCTGGATGCATCAGGCATGGAATGGGGTGTCAATGAAGGAGATGGTGCTTTCTATGGACCCAAGATCGATATCGTCCTCACAGACTCGGATGGAAAGGAGCATCAGACAGCGACCATCCAACTTGACTTTCAACTACCCAAGCGATTTGAACTTGAGTATCAGGCCCCTGCGCCAGAATATGAAGCTAGAGGCGAGACGACCACAGATGCTTCTCTGCTCGACGAGTATGGCCCCGTGCGCCCTGTCATGATTCACCGCGCTGTCCTGGGTTCGGTTGAGCGTCTCATGGCTCTCCTGATTGAGAAGTACAATGGCAAATGGCCTTTCTGGTTGAACCCTCGCCAAGTCATCATTCTCACCATCAACACTGCCGAACCTGTTGTCGAATGGGCGGGGCAAGTGCGCAGTATGCTGGTTGGTAACAACGACCAACTTTACGAGCAGCTTGAGAACGGCACACTCCCTACCCAGGATAACGCATTTCGACCGACTGGGCTGTCGGTTGACATAGATGATAGTGCACGGCCTCTGGGTGCGAAAATTAAGGAGGCAAGAGAGAAGAACTATGGTGAGATCCTCGTGATCGGACAGAAAGATGTTGAGAACAAACGAGTTTCGCTGGGCAAGGAGATGCTATCACCAGAGGAGGTACGTGAGCGGTTCAGGACCATGGTAGACACATTTGCCTAGGCATAGAGATGCGATGTCGTGTAATAATAAATGTAAAACCACGTTTGTATGATACAATAGTCTCTATATCAGTCTTGCTTCCCTAGTCATGCTGATAGCGCGGCGCTGCCATTATGGCGCGGCTCGTTGCTATCGCGATTTGGGATGGTCAGGCTGATATGCGACAGTCAATCAGTTCCATCGGTTCAATGCCCAACGTCGTTGAGTCTGTTCGGGCTCTTGACGTGCGGTAGCTGTGAAGACCCTCCAAGTGCGTAATCATCCCCTAGTACGACCTGGGTTCGCCGCCTGTTGATATAGCGCCCTTCAAAGACAGTTAGTACCTGGTTTGTTGATCGCAAAGTGGTCACCCGACTCACTTCTTGTGTTTCTCATCGACATCACCGCCAGCCTGTTCAATACGATCAACCATGGCCTGCCTCTCTGAGAGCTGCTCACGCATATAGTCAACTGTCCGCTTCAGCACCAGGCCTTCGGATCTCCCCTGGCCTTCTAAGCCAGGCACCAGTTCAGTTAAGCGGTCGAAGCCTTCACGAATCGCTTGGCGTCGCTTCTGCTCTGATTGATGCGCATTAGCAAATATCAACTCAAAGAATACTCAAGAGCATCGCAGATATCATGCGACAGCAAATATCACGTGTAAACAATTCACATACCAGATGCGATATGGTTCTGCTTCTTTTCCTCCTCAGTGAGTCGTGGTTTCTCATCGGCGGCCCCGGCATCGCCATTGGCTGGAGACTTGTTATTTGGAGACGACATCTTTTGGCTGAGTAGTGATAGTGAGGAGAATGGTAGTGAGACGTAAACAAACAAACAAACGTGCAAAATTTGTCAAGATGCGCATAGAACTTTCATGTGAGAGAGGATATGTAGGTCGCAAATGACGTGCAAGGGTGCTGCCCCGGATTTTCCATGTGAAAATGACACTACCGGACCCTTAGTCTGCCTGGTCCTTGCATATTGACATCCAATATGGAAGGCGGCGTTCTCCTGGTTTGGCGATTGAATCATGTCTTGGGTTGGTTTGTTCCTGATCTGCAACACCAATATTTTAATTTGGTCATGATAATTATGTAATTATGTAACTTCACTCTACCGTCCTCAGTAAATCCACGAGGCTCAAACTGGGTTGTTCGACACTGCAAAGGCAGCTTGTCCTTGTTAATGCAATCTGTCTGTTAGCTCAGCTCAGTAGTCATGAGGACCGGGTATCATATGTCCTCTGGTGCTGAGACCTTGGGTCCACGATGACGGGACAGAACCATTTTGCACCTATCAGCTTCAAAGAACACTTCTGGAAACCCGAATAACTTGGAAGAGAGAAAGAAAGGACTGACAAAATGGGGACTGCTCAAGCCACATTTGTGTAGCTCGTTAAATTGCATGAGTATCCATTCTATTTCCCTGGTTTCCTCTATTCCTACTCAACACCTAGTCCTCCTCCTCCCCTTCACCTTCAAAGTCCTCCTCTTCCTGTCTAAATATAACTTTCTCCGCCATAGCCATGCATTTTCTCACTGGAAGTCCAACGACGTTGTCGACACTTCCGTCAAGCTTCTCGACAAGCAACATGCCGCCCACGCCTTGCACAGCGTAGCCACCGGCCTTATCCGCACCCTCACGAGTCTTGACATACGCTTCAATCACATCATCAGGGAGACCATCAGATTCACTCAAGAAGTACACCTTGGTCTCTTCTGTGTAGGTATCGATGATATAGCCCGGATGTCTCGCGTCTTCTCTTGGCGCGATTACTACAATCGACGTCAAGACCTTGTGCATTCTCTGGTCTCGCAGATGCTTGAGCATGCGAATGTGATCAGCTTCACTTCGAGGCTTCTCCAGAATTCGACCATCCTTGGTAACGATAACAGTGTCCGCAGCAATGACCAGATCAGGATCCGGTATAGATTTCAGATGAACTTCAAGTGCGGTAGTATAAACGTCCATGCACTTTTGGTGAGCAGTTGCAGCTACATACTCGTAGGGACCTAGTGCGGCTTTGTCGAGATTCTCGGGTTTGGTGGATGGGAGAATCTCAAGGTTTGTAAGGCCAAACTATGTATCATGAGAAAAAGGCCATTGGCGTTAACTCGGATGTCTTTGGCTCACCTGTTGGAGCAATGCCTTTCTTCGCGGTGAGGCAGATGCAAGAATCACTCTCTTGCCGTTGAGATGCTTAAGAATTGGGAGTTCTAGCGGTATAGGACCTTTCCGTAAAGGCCGCTGAGGGGTGCCCTGAGCGGCGGTGGACTTTTCATAGTCAGGAGGTGGTTCGCTTGGTGTGTCAGCCATCTTGTCTGGCTACTTTGATTCCTCGTGCTGGTGAAGTGAAGTTGTAAAGGTTACAGTCCCTGAGATGAGATCTGAATCTTGATAATGAGGTCAATGTGGGGTTGAATAATGGGAGCTTTGAGCTTAGCAGTCTAGGTAGGCAGTGCCCCGTTTGACTGGGCTCCTAGCCTCTAAAACGACCCCTCATAACGACTTTGTGTTCATCATGGCAATTCTTATTTACTTTTCTTTGGTTATGAGTTGAGTGTTTAAAAGCTGGGAATTTAAATACCTATAGTCTCTTCGAAGACAAGTGCATTCCCCTATTTGCTCACTATCTACTTCTGAAAACCATTAGATTGATTTGGATTTAATTGTGCATATTGTTCAAAGTATAGTTTTCATGATACATCTGAAGCGATCATAGCGTAGGCGATCTCCTTGAATTCGTATCATGGGTGCCTTTCAAGTTCGATGCATGAGGCCTGAAGCGTGTGAGAACAATAGCACCACAGAGGCGTCGCTATCAATGCAACATGTATTAATTGTGCCGAGTAATAGTCCTTATAGTCTGTTGACATTCACTATTGTTGAATTCCATTATCAATGTCTGCCTTGTTGCCTTAACCCGTTTTCAGGCACACATAATAGCTTCTCGGTAGGTCCAAGTGGATACCGTACCTCCACGGGCCACCACTAGCATTGGATCCATTGAATGTGCCTCCAAACCTCGCCCTCAGCTCCAAAGAAGCCAGCCCCATTTACCACCACATCAAAATCGCCAGCATCGGAGCATTTGTAGGGCCTGCATAGACCCGCGATAGCCTAAAGCAAAACGGGAGCCTGCAAAACATTCGAATGGTGCATTTCATACGGTGCATCCTCTAAACTTTGCCCTGTTTTTTTGAGGTCCGACCCTGGACTTGGTATCTTGCTTGACGCGACCATTGGATCGCACGCGTCAAAATCCACACAAGCGCCGTCGCAAACGACCTCGATCTCCAGGTTTGCGATCCTCAATTGCGTCCCAACGAAATCCTCAAGGGAAACATACCGTAATCATCTTTGATGCGCTCGATTAGGCGACCCTATCGATTATAATCACAATGGACAGCAAACGCAAGGCCAATGGCGCTGCTGCGGTCGACAACGACGACAGAGGCTCTAAGCGTCGCAGACTTACTGTAAGTCCGACCTGTCGCTTCTCGCGAATCTGAATATTTCCAGTTCGCGAAGATCCCCCCGTAGCACAACTTGAGAATCTCTGCCACTCAGCTATCACCCGATCAATTTTTTTACTAACATTGCGTCCCAGGGCGATTTCGATCTTTCCAAAGGTGAATCTCGAGAATCGACAACTACATATGGCCTGTCATTCCTAGAGCATATTCGAAAAACTGCCGACAAAGCGTATTTCCAACCAGATTTCCAATCACCATTACCATACTGACTCATCCTATAGTGGACGTCTTGTCGCAACCAATTTCGAAGAACTTCCATCCCGCGAGGAAAATGCAGACTATTACGAACAAACACGCATGCCCATCTCATTATCCATGATCGAGCAGAAACTGAACGATGGCGATTTCGAGAACTTGTCCGAGCTTGAGGGCTACTTCAAGCGCATGATCAGCAACGCGAAGGAGTTCTACCCTCGGGGAACCGAGATATATGAAGATGCGGAACGATTGAGAAAGGCTGTCAGCAATTACATGACCAAGAAAAATCCGGCATATCATGTCAGAGGTTATCAGGCTGTGCCAACCCCGTTCCCAGACGATGATGACGAGGAGGGCAATGAAGACAACGAGGACGAAGAAATGAATGACAACGAGGACGAAGATGAAGATGAGCCCGAGGAAGAAAAAGAGGACGAGGATGAAGAGGACGAGGAAGAGGAAGAGGCGCCAAGCTCTCGTAGACGAACCATTACACTCAAGCGGAGAACACCTGGTCGTACACCTGGTCGAAGGGCGTCCACTCGAGGCAAAGAGATCCCGAAGCCAGCAGCGCCAGCCGCAAAGCCAGACCACGTCTATGAAGATGTACCCTATAAGGGATTGTCATTTCAGCAAGCCCAGGAAAAGCTCATCGAGGAGCTTATCCGACGCGAAGACCCTGGATATGATGGCCCTTACTTCGAAGCTTTCATCAACCTACCGCCTCGGTCTCTCAAAGAGTATTTCAAGGTTATCAGTGACCCCATGTCGATCCGAAAATTGCAGAAGGCGGTCAAGGGTTTCCACGGTCGTGGTGGCTCAACTGGAGTTAGCGATTTCAAGTCATGGGCCGCTTTTGAGGAGAAGGCAAAGCTATTGTGGACCAACGCGTACTTTTACAATGAAGAAGGTAGTGAAATCTACTTGGTTGCGCAGGATCTCGAGGTCAGTATAATGTCGCCTGTGTTTATCAACATTTCTAACCGCGTTGCAGAAATTCTTTTATGATCAGTTAAAACAAGCACAAGCTGTTGTAACTGAACCTTCTCAACCGAAGATTAAACTAAAGGTTGGCGGATCCAGTGAGACGCCTACACCTGGGCCCAAAAAGATCACCATCCATGTTGGAGGCCAGCGAGATTCTGCGGATTCACCAGCGCCAGCTCAATCGAAGGGAGCGTTGACAAATGGTCAGACTGTGAACGGCACGGCACGCACTTCAACGCCTGCTCAAGCTGTCAACCCTCAATTGGAAAAGGCTAGGAGCACGTCGTTATCTGCCGTGCCATCTCCTAGCCCTTCTGTACAGAGTGCTCTCAAGCCAGAGGAGGCCTCAAGGGCATCGCCAGCAGTTCCGTCACAACCGCCTAGCGCTGCACCTAGCCAAGCAACTCCTTCGGTTCCTGCGGCTGCTCCCGTTGCTGTCCCTGCTCCTGTACCCGTGCCGCCGCCCCAACCAATCACTAATCCGCTTGTTAACGGGTATATGGACCAGAAGCATCCTCGTCGTTCTGGTAAAAGTATTTTACCCAAACACATTTCCAAGTCGCAAACACTAACAAATCTAGGTATCGACGATGCTCTCATTGAGAGTATGAAGATTCAGGTTCATCCCACTCTCCAATCACACAGCCCTGTACTGGCAACCATCAGACCCAACCCCAAGGAGATGGAGCAGTCTGCCACTCTTAACCTACCTCCCCATCTCACGCGGATTCTTGCCGTCACCGCAATACCCAACCATTTACAGACTAGACAATACAGCCTCTGGACACTGGTTAATAAGCAACCGCTCAAGCCCATTCATCACCAAGCTCCTGGCCAGCAACCTCACGAGCGCGCCTTTGAGGCAATGCTACATCCAGGGCTCAACGTACTCGAGTCACATCTCATCGCTGCCATTCCACGAGATGAGCGTGTTCCAGGCGGTCCGGAGGTTGAATTAGAAGTTTTCACCATCTCGATCAACGTCCTGAGGAATTAACACTACCAACGTCATCAGTCAGGGCATGGGAGAAAGCAGGCTTCTGCATGGGAAATTTCAAG